ATACCGTCTTTGGTGTCCAAGTTCGAAGAAAAACTATTTAGTAGGGATGTAACATTTGATGGTCTTCTATGTTAGAAAAGAAAACAGGAAGCCAGTGAAGGTTTCAGTACTCCGCAACAGGTGGAGCATACTCAGCAACAGTGGGAGTTTGAAACAACACAGTTAGCCCCTGGAAATGAGACTCCATGATAGAGGAGTTCATTGGAGATGAAGAAGAGATTCTTCCCAAGAACCTCAACAAGAATCCATTGCTGTTAATAGGCCAAGACGAGAATTCGCAAGCCTGCTCGTTTTGTGGATACGGTGGCCTATGCACTCCCAATTGAAGATGGTGAAGTTCCTTCCACTTATAATGAGTAGCTAGCAGTTCCAAAAATGGAAGTGGGGAAAGCCATGAAAGAAGAGATGCAGTCTCTCCATAAGAATGAACTTGGGAGGTTGTTCAATTACTAAAGAATAAGAAGGCATGGATGCAAATGGGTATATGCAAAGAAAGAAGGATTTCGAATTTGAAAGACATCCGATACAAGGCAAGGTTGGTGGCGAAAGGCTAGCGCAGAAGGAAGGAATAGATTTCAATGAGGTATTTTCTCCAGTTGTAAAGCAATCTTCCATTAGAATTTTGTTGGCCTTGGTTGCTCAGATGAATCTTGACTTGTTCAACTTGATGTGAAAACCGCGTTTCTACACGGGTATTTGGAAGAGGAAATCTATATGACTCAGCCAGAAGGATTTAGGAGTATTGGAAGGAAATTGGGTTTGTAAACTGAAAAGATCGCTTTATGGTTTTGAAACAATCTCCGAGCACGTGGTACAAGCGATTTGATAGGTTTATGATGGGTCAGGAGTACACAAGAAGCAAATTTGACAACTGTGTGTATTTTCAAAGGCTACAAGGTGATACTTCATTATAATCTTATATGTTGATGATATGTTGATTGCTTCAAAGAATGTAGAAGAAATTGAGAAGTTAAAGGCTCAAAAATCAAGAATTTGAGATGAAGGATTTAGGGGAAGCCAGAAGATTCTCGGTATGGAGATAATTAGAGATAGAGGAAATGGCAAGGTTTGTTTGACACAAAAGCAGTATCTAAAGAAGGTTTACAACGTTTTCGATAACTGAAAGTACAAAATCTGTAAGTACTCCACTTGCTCCTCATATAAAGCTTAGTGCGTCATTATCTCCAAGTACGCATGAAGAACGAGAGGATATGCAAAAGGTTCCGTATTCAAATGCGGTTGGTAGCGATGTATTCAATGGTGTGTACAGGCCCGACATTTCACATGCAGTTAGAATTGTGAGCAGGTATATGCATGACTGGTAAGGACATTGGCAAGCTGTGAAGTGGATTTTACGGTATATTATAGGTACTGTAAACATTGGTTTGGTTTGAGCGGGATGAAAATCTAGTCAATTTGCTGTGGCTATGTGATTCTGATTATGCTGGTGATTTGGACAAGCGTCGGTCAACTACTAGATATGTATTTCTCTTGCTAGAGCTCCAGTAAGTTGGAAATCTTCTTTGCAGTCTACAGTTGCTTGTCTACTACAGAGGCAGAATACATGGCAGTTACAGAGGCTGTGAAGGAAGCTATTGGTTACAAGGGCTATTGGAGAATTGAAAATTAGTCAGAAGAAGATCACTATCTATTCTGACAGTCAGAGTGCTATTCACTTAGCAAAGAATCCAGTATTCCACTTTCGCACCAAGCATATGATGTTCGTGTACCACTTGTGCGGGAAAATTATCTGAAGGAAGAATCATTAGAGAAGATTGGGACTGGATGAATCCTGCAGATGTCTTAACAAAAGTAGTGACAAGATCAAGTTCAATCACTGTTTGAACTTGACAACATCCTGCGAGCTTGATTGTGCTTTTTGGCACATTTGGGTGTTGCAAAATTGACAGAAGAATACAAAACTATGAAGGTTTGCTAATTCGCCAAGGTGGAGATTTGTTGAAAAAGGCTTTTAGCAAAATCAAATGGGGTGAAATGATAATGGGAAGGTTTAGGGACTTTAGTAATAGGCCAAGAAAAGGTGTTTGTCCCACATTGATTAGGATTGAAAAGTGGGAACTTTTTGGGCCTATAATAAGGACCTAAATCAATGTTAATTGTATCCCAAGTTGTAATACCATTTATATTCTTTGTTTAGGGTTCTTTCTTTAAGGACCCTTAGTTTGCAAGTTTTGTTGTATCTCCCTTTGTTTTGGGTATTGTTTGTATTGCCCAAATATTTGTAATATTGTTTGGAGATAGTGGAGCTTTCTTTTGCAGCCGAGGACGTAGGTTTTAATACGAACCTCGTAATTCCTGGATTCTTTATTTTTGCATTTAATTTTGGCAATTTATTATGCTTATTACTTGTATTATTATATTCAATAAGCTAGCGTTAGAGTTTATGTTTCCGTTGCATAACAGTTGAGGAGGAAAGGAAATAATGATGATGGTGAGAAGGATTATGGTGGACAAAGAAGGGCATGCAATAAGGTATCGGGCAAAAGAGCTAAAACACGGTGCAGAGAAAGCATTGAGTTATGAGGGTGGATCCATTTATGATTCTTTGTCTCTGCTGGCCAATAAGTGCAAGCATCCATGAAAATCACTCAATGCAGTTAAGTTGATGATGGAGGGAGTATCATGTATTCATGTGTAATATATTTTTGAGTGTGTGTGTGCTTTTTTTTTTTTTTTTTTTTTTAATAACTGGGGTGTTCGGACTAGTTTACGCACAACTCAACTAATCTTTTAGGATCCTGAAACTATCAACTGGATAAAAGCTCAAGTGTTCACCTTTATTAACAACCACAAAGGGACTCGAACTTAGTATCTCTTAAGTAGTACGGTCAAGAGTCTATATCAAACGACTTAGTCACCCAAGGGTTGGTTGTATAAGTTCATTTTGTCAGTTTTTATTCAATAATAATTTTTATTATGTTTCTGTTTTTGTGAATCGTTAAAACTGTTGCAGTGCTATGTATTCTTCCATGTACACGAGGAATGCTAGTGCTGAGTACTCGCTATTTTATAAACATTTGTTCTGGTTAATTGTTTCATTCCAATATTTTTATGAATTGATCGGCATAACAAAATAAAAATATGGGAATACAAAGCCTACACGCATGCAGGAAAAAGTAAGCTGCAATTTTTGAGGAGAGCAAATTGAAAATTGCTATAATTTTCATTTCTTTTATTGACATATGTCACAATCTGCGCTACTCTATCAATAAAACTGGAGAAATGATTTGTTTACATATAAAACTGCGAATCCTACATCCAGTGTGATTTTATTATTCTCTCGCTATTTTTCTGATATTGCCTGTAAGACATACAAAACTGGAGAAATGATTTGTTTAGAGAGAAAAAATAATAAAACTCAAATGTTTGTCTAATCTCATATGTCCAACCTCTTTTTCACGAAGAGATGTGCCCATTTATACCTTTGAGGTCAATGTAATGAATGTTTTTACAAGTTGTCTTGACACGTGGGGACCATTCCTTAATCCTTATTTTAAAATGAGATAGGATTGACATAAAATATCTCTCGGAGGTGGTTTGAGTTTTGACAGCTAATACAATTTGTTTTTTGGGAGAACGACTATTTCGCACCCAAGGTTTGGCAAAATGACACTTTTCCACCCTTCAAGTTTTAAAACGACACTTTCCCACCCACCGTTATGTTCCGTTAGAAAAATTTGTTTATAAGAAGGGTAAGGAGATAAAGTTACATGAAATTGCAAAAATCAAAATTTAAAAATTGAAATCTCAATCAGTGTAACTTCGCCTGAATGGTTGCCAGGTGCTCCACTAAAGTTGACCTAGAAAAAAAAGGGTGAACGAAAAGACATTTGCCTTTTCTCACTGTTCTCTGTAACTAAAGCTTAAACAGTTAGGGTTGGCGACTAGCAATTGGGGTCATGGATGATGAAGAGTGGGGTCCCGATAAGGAGGAAGAAGGTGGCGCTGTGGCTGTGGTAGAGGAGGGGAAGCCCAAAGAAGCGACGAAGATCGATAACTTAAAGAAGGCATTAGTAGATTCGTTCTATGGGACCGATCGTGGGTTGACGGAGACTAGCGAAACGAGCAGAAATTGTTGAGCTTATCACACAGCTTGAAGCTAAGAATTCGACTCCCACACTGACTGAGGCATTAACTTTGCTTAACGACAAATGGATTCTTGCGTAAGTGTTCGTTTTGCTGTTAGGTTCGTGGGAAAATTATGGTGAAGGAATTGAATTTGGGAGTTTTTAAAATTGGGTATTTTTGTGGTTTGTTAGTACTTGGGCTAAGTTGAAACTTTGGTTAATTTAGGATGATATAATCACATAGCTTATTTTAGTTGAATTCCACTGCTTTGGAAATGAAAATATGAATGAAATTTTAATCCTTTTTGATAATTTGTTTGTTTATTGCTCATAGGCATATTTATCGCTATAAAATCAGTGATTTGTTAACAATATATTTGGAGGGTTAGAGCCGCTCAAGAACTTGGCATTGTAAAATTGAGATAAAAATTTTGGATGTTCCACTGGTGATCTTATATTCTGTCACGAATATGATTTGCAACTTCAAAATTGTTATGTTATTAATTGTAATCAACACCAAAGTCCAAAATTGATATTTCTAAATTGTTGACTCTGCTTTTATATAATCAATTCTACTTTGGTAGTATATATTAGGTGGCTGCAGAACTCTCCAAGAAACTATGTTAATTCTGATGGCAAAAATTGGTGTTTAAATTTATGCCTAGCAAGAGGTTGTAGATTTTCTTGAGTTGGAACAGAGATGCAGTTGTAGCACCAATAGATGGATTTACTCCTTTCATATTGTAGTCTTGTTGATATTGAGTTTAAATTTATGTGTGGTAGTGCAGGTATACATCCTTTTCCTATTTGTTCCCCTTGTTGTCAAGGGGTTCATTGCAATTGGCGAGAGTGGAGGAGGTATCTCAGACAATTGACTCATTAATTGGTGAGGTGTTGTGAGAAGTGGGCAACTGCAGCCATCAAGAAATTAGATTCCAGTTAGCAACTAGACCTGGAATTTCTAGCACAGGTTTGGCTTATTATTGTGCATTATCTTCAGTTCTTCTATTATGTTGCAATAAATATTTTGTCGAATTTAATAGTTCACACATGATTTTACAGGTTTCCATGGTATCAAGACTTAAACAAGAAAATGTTGTTGAGCTTGTTGGTTATTGCATTGATGGCCCTCTACGTGTCCTTGTCTATTAGCATACTTCAAAAGGATCTCTTCATGCCATTCTTCATGGTAAGTGGTGTCATATTATTTCTATGTTTTCAACTCTTAGGTACCATACCAATAAAGATCATTATGTGGGTTGACTTTATAAATCATGTAAGGTGTTTCTAGCTGAGGGGTGATCATTTATATTTGAGAATTCTAGTATTCTTTGCATATCATAATTGGTTTAAGTATAAAGTTTTGTAATTGATGGTTGTGGAAGCCTAGTTTCAAACAAAATCGAGAGATGAATAGAAGATGATATTCAATTTTCAAAATCAAAAGGTTACCCCTATTCTTCCTGTGCTAATTAATATGCCATTTGCAGCATCTTCAATACTGCCCTGACAATGATTTCATCTCTCCTATCACTGCCGCGTGGATAGCAAACCCTTGTGACATGGGTTTGAACTTCATCTTTGTTCTTTTCTACCACTAACTCGTTTTGGAACATACATATTTTTTCTATTTTGTTACTCTCTATGTTGATAGCTAGCAAATTCGTATGTGTGTAAGCTTCATTCAAGCTGCATAAACTCAGCGAAGATAAGGTGAAACAATGCGTTGATGTTAAGTTAAATGGAGAATACCCTCCTAAGACAGTTGCAAAGTTACTGAAGATGGTAATTTCGGTTGAAAATAATACATCAAATTCAAGTGTTCTTGGTGGAAGAGCAAAAGTTGTGAAGAAGGTTTTGAAGATCCTGAAAGCAAAGGAAAAGAAAGCTTCAAGGAGCTAGAAAGTGGGAGGATGAAAGCAAAACTTTTTGGATTTTAAGAAATGAATGAGAAACTGGAAAAATTGTTTTCTTTGTATTGAATTCCCTATTTTTATTGGGTTTGAATTGAAAAAATTTCTTATATATGTATGCACTGTAATTTTACAATCTGGATTCTTATTTAAGCAAATTGGTAATGCTAATACTTAGTTTTATTTGGGGTTAAATTGACAAAATTTAAATATAAATAGGGTTGCAGCAAACTACAAGGACAAATGATCTAGGACAAATTGATAATTTTAAAAATCTAACGTGATTTAAGACATTATATTTAATAAAAAACTAGACAGATAAATTGGTAGGCATCAATAATTTCATATTTAAAGAGGGTATAGTGGTAATTGATTATGCTGACATGATATAAAATAATAAAAGAATAAGAAGTCAAATAATAAAGGGTATTTTCGTCTTTATAGTCAAATAGTAATAGATTTTTCTGATAGAGTATAGCGGTGGGTGGGAAAGTATCATTTTAAAACTTAACGGGTGGAAAAATGTCGTTTCACCAAACCTTGGGTGGGAAAATGTCATTCTCTCTTGTTTTTTAGGTAGTGCTGATATCAATGTATATTTTTGGCATAACACTTAATGGGAGAGAAAATTAATAAATAAAATGTATAGGAACTTGTAGTTTATTAATTAAAATTAGGATAAAGAGTAAAATTTGACTCACTCACTTTTTAATTTATATTTTAAAGATAAATAGTCTGTTAGACTATTCAATAAACTCTTTATAATAAAGAGTTTGAGTCATATAAAAAATCATTTGGAGATGCTCTTACAAAGATTTTTATACAAAATGAAATGTCAAAAAATGAATAGAAGAGTTAAACAAAAAGTCAAAGTCATTATATTTATTTTTCTATTATTTTTTATTATATAAGTTTGTATAGAGATTTTTATAAGATTTATTTGTAATTGTGGTATTACACTTCCTATTTTTTGAGTATTTGTCCTTTAGCTCCTACTTTCTGTAATTACTTGTCTTTCTCCACCGAATACAAAATTGTCATCGTCATCGAACTTGGTCACTTTGATATCAAATCGCTAGTAGATCCAGATGCAGCGGTCCATATTCAACTAGCTTTGATAAGGCGTGAATCTGACCCAATACTCCAATTTGTAATTGCTTTCATAGCAGACTTGTTCAAACTAGAAGGGTTTAAGCAACCAGTTTTGACAAGTTAAAATATATCTTTCAAAGTCCTAGTATCCGAGGTTGGTGGGATTTTGGTGAACATGTGGCGTGGGATGAGTATGCTTGAAGCCTTAAAAGATAACGAAATTATTTAGCCGGGAGATTAAATTTAGAGGTACCCATTTATCCCATTGGACCGATGGATAGACTGGTCAAACCTGCTTCTTTGGTGGAGTGAGTTGCTTGGACTTTCGTGTTTCATTGGTGGACCCTCAACTACTCTCAATGGTGCAAATATTGTGTGTTTAGATTTTAGCATTAAGTTGTCTGTTGTCGTTTAATTAGCTTCACAATATCGGAGTTATAAGTCTTAATCTTGAGTCTTGACTTTGGAAGTGCTTTTGTGTTGTATATGATTTTGTAGTATGTATTTCAAGTAGGTCAACAAACAATTGGTTGTAGCAATTGCCGTTTGCTTCAAGCAGCAGAAACCTATCACTATCAAGTATCAACCTCTCGACTCCTGTTATATTGCCCTCTTGTTATTTATCATACTGCTTTTCGTTTCTGCAACTAGTTTATTTTTTTTTTTTATGTAAGGTCTTGAATAGTGATGGACCTGCTGTTCATTGAATGTTCATCGATCCCTGTGAGACCTTGATTTACGCTAGCCAGAATTAGTTGCTTGCAAGCCCTCAATATATATAATCAACCAATTATGTGCTGATTAGCTCTCCAATCTCAGTCTTAAACATGATTTGAACTGTTAAGATTTATACAATCAGTATTCCATTTCCATACAATTCTTGGCTATATTTTCAACGTATGACTACTTCTTTTATCAATATGAATTTCACTTAATTAGATCGTCTTAGAGCTATCTAATCCTATTATATCTAGATATAAATGAATTGCTAATTTGAAGTTCAAATCATTTGCTAGAAGTGGTAAGAAAGTAACAATTGATCAAGTTAGATAGAGTTTTTTTTTTTTTTTTTTTTTTTTTATTATCACCATGGGTGTTTGAGCCAACTATACACACCTCAACTAATACTCCAAGGTCTTGGAATTGTCGATAAAGTAAAAGTCTTAATGGCTACCCTTATTATGATTATTATTTTCTGAAGAGTTGCTAATCTATGTACTTACTGATCTTTTAATCAACACATCCATATTGATTCCATTAATATTACTCGTTAATTCTTGTCCTTATTTCTTCCAACAATTTTAATACACACGCCGCCCAAACTAAAACTTGCAAATGTTTATTGCTTTGATTCTTTTAGGAATGAAACTAATTTTCTTGTGCATGTGAAACATAATTACTGGTGGGTGGGAACCAGCTCAAGCGGAAGCCATTTAGCAATGTGGTGTCAAGAGTTTTGAAGTTGTCGATGAGATAGCAAAAACATTGGCCCATCCGACTCAACATTTCATTGAACTGAGACTCACTCTGGCCTTCATTGTTACCTTGACCTCGTTGGCTTTTGCGGCTCTTATATCATTAGGTTTTCAACTGCAGTAGCGATACACCTAATTAGAGCTAAGCATTTGGGATCAGGTCCAAAAACCCAGTCCTAGGATCGGTCCTTGAGAGGATCGGTCCTAGCAAGCCTGGTCCCAAAACCGGATCAGGCCTAAGGAGGAAGGCCCGATCCCTTCATTGGGCCCTCCTCCCAGGCCTGGGCCCAAATCCTTTTAATTTTTTTCTTTTTAGTCTCTTATATAATTACATAAAACCCTCTAATTTTTTTGAAATAAACATAAATTATAGGGGTTAAAATTTTTTTTTACAAAATTAAAAAAAAACAATTTGTTTAACTCACAACTACATTATAAATATTCCCCATCTCCAATCAAATTCTCATTCAATTTATATTTATATTTATAATTTATTCTTATAATTTATTTATATTATTGTTGAAGACAAAAGATGTTCTTTAACCGATGAGATGATTGAAGTGATAACGTGTTTACGGGATTGAACTCATACAGAAAGAAGACTACAACAGCACCTTGAAGATCCCGAACTACTTGAACTCTTTAGGAATACAGATTTTAATGATTTAAATATTGTTGACAATGAAAATGAATAATTTAATAAAAAATTTATTTAATTTTTTATTTGTGAAGTGTGAATATTACATTTATATTAAAATTAACTATTAATTAATTTATTATTTTTTAAAATTAATTAAACTTTTAGAAACTTACTAATCTACCTCTAAAAATTACTAAAACCCCCTACAGAATTTCATTTCACCCTTAAAATATAAAAAAAAGATAATGGGGGAAAGATAAATTTTGCAGGCCTATAGGACCGGTCCGGGTCCTAAAATTGCTCATGAGCCTGGGACCGGCCACAAGCCCATGAGCGGCCCTTGTATCATTAGGTTTTCAACTGTAGTAGCGATATACCTAATTATGAATTATTCTTCAACAAATTGTTTATTATAATTATTGTGCCAGATGTAAAATTATATTTGCCTCTTTTACAAATTTAATAACAGATAAAATTATAATTTAACCAAAAATAAAAAAGGAAAGAAAACAATAATGGTGAGCAGATTTAGAAAGTCTGGTGTGCAGTGTGTATAGCTCTTCCTCCATTTCTTCCCTTCGGGTTGGGTTGGTTTCGTGGGTTTCAGGCCCAAATCTTATAATGATATGGAATCATCAATAACCATGGCCCAGATTCAGAAGATATGACTTCTACCAAAAAAAACTCTGCATTAACCTTTATGTTCAGGTCTGCCCAGAGGCCCTGACACTATCATGGGCTCATCAGTTAGAATGAGCAGAACTCATGCAGCATGACGACAAACACAAATACAGTGTAATGTCACAATTCCTGTAATTCAGTAACAAATAAAGAAACAAGTTTTCAATAAGACTATTTAAGTCTTGTTCTTTCTTTTTATTATTCTTATCAAACAAATGAGTTTACAGTGTTGTTTTGATGATGTTATTAGTGTCAATTATTAAAATTAACATAAGAAATACTAGGGAAAACAAAATTGTTTTATGTTCTCAAATCTCAATAATGGTATCAAAATTTCGCTCTGGTTGTTAAAGTTATAACATACAGTACCTTTGTAAGGGCAGGTCAGTTGTGAAAACCAGAAAAATAAGGGTAAAAATAGTACTGACAAAATTTAAAAAAAATCTCAGGAGTCCGGGGCAGAATGTGTATCCTGGCAGGTGGAAAAATAACCCGCTCGACCCAATCCATGGAAGGTTAAGCAAAATGGCAGGCCGAGCCTAATCCGACCTACCAGGCCCACCTCTTGGCCAAACGGGTTGGCCCAACCCAACCTGTCGACCCTAACCCAGTGTGTTTTGGTGCGGCCTAGCTCGAATTTTTTTTTTCTTGTGTAATTTTTTTAACTAACTTTTTAAATATTGATAATTTAATTAAATTAATTTTTTTTGTTAACATTTCAAATATTAATTCAATTTTAATACA